GGTGTCATCTGCACTACTGCATAACTTTGTCCATACCAGATAATATGAATTTGTAATTTTAATAATAAAATGCTCTGAAATGATATACATGGCATTGTTACAAACCCCACAATGAATCCAAGCAACAGCAAATGCAGAAATACAATGAATTCATAATGCCATGATTTTTAATCAATCCAACACTTATCCGCAGATAATTTTCTCATATTTAACCCCACACTGATACTCATTTTAAAAGCTTAATCTAGAATGAAGGAAAAAAAAAAAACATTAAAAAAGCCCTGAAAAAAAGATATAAAATACTGCAGTGGCAGAGAATATTGTACATACGTCCAAGAAACACAGTCTAAATTATGAGGATGTAGTAAAGTAGAACCTTGTACAATTGACTTCCTCAAGGAATTCAGTATTAATTAAACATTTCAGTTATGCACAAACCTGCAGTGGAACTGGCACACAGTGGCTTTGGAAGAAGCGAAAGTAACTCTAGTTATATCATATTCTTAAACTCCAAATCATGATGAGAAAATTCATTACTTTAACTTTGGAGTCAGAACAAGAAGCAGGAAGTTGGCAAAGAAGCCTCATGGCCTGTAGCCATCATGTTAGGTACTAAAAGTTACTTTCCCAATACTGCATTAGGCTATACCTCATGAAGGACCTATGTCAGATTTCACATGACAAAGGAGAATTTTATACTTTCTATAAATTACCATGCTTGTATAACATTAAAAGCTTCCTTGCACTGACACATTCTATCAGCAGAAAATTAACTAAACCCAGAGAGAAAGACTAATTGTGTTCCAAAGGACAACATGCTAATCCTCCTTCATGGACACAAGGTAAATTCTCATATATAATTTTCCAGTACAAAGAGAATATTCAAAAGACCAGTATCTTTCCTTAAACCAGATGGAGGCTTAACTACCACATCAATAGTTCTACTGATCAGTTTCATCAGTAAAATTAAATCCCAAAAAGGAAATGTACCTAAATATAAAAACCTCAGTATTTGCTCTCACTGTGCTGGAGACGTGGCATGTCGTGGGTTACTTAAAAGCTGTATTTTATCAGCATAGACATCCAGATTTCAGGAAAACAAAACCAGCCAACATTTTTGAAGTGATAGGAGCTTGCATACTTAATGTTGTGCATTGTTTTTCAGTTACTTCAGCTGTAATTTTGCTAACTTAAGGTCATATATGTACAATTACTTACTACATCCTAAGAAAATAAAGCAGCACATATGTTTAAGACGTTTTAAAACAAATATAACCTAATGCTTATAACCATAGCTTGAAATTTGTTATTATGGGGAAAAAGAATGCATAAGGAAAAATGTGAAAAGACTTCTAGGTCTGGTAACTGTGTCTTAACAAAATGTAATGTCCTGTATCTGAAATTTTGCATTTAATTCTTCAGTTCTCAAGTCTACACATATCATGCAGTTGCATTTTCAGGCATTAATTACCATTTTTCAACATGCATTCTTCAGACTTTCACTAGATTTTAGATTACATGAAAACAAATTCTGGGAAACCTTGCCTGAATTCCCACATCCACCATAGAAAATACAGAAAGGAAATTCCTCTAAATTAGAACATCACCCTTAGCAAAGTCCCAAAGTGTTACTAAAATATTATGAGTGACAAAACTATATACAAAACTGGTTTGCAATCTTAGCAAGAGCCTTTGTCTTTGTAGAAAGAATAATTAATAACTGTTTTTTAAAATTAGACCATTACAATAGTTCTCACTTAAGCTGGTTAAAATACAGCCAGGGCTAATTTGCTCCTAATTGTTATACATATGACTTGTATTTCAATGGAGAAATATAAAGCTATCCCTTAAAATTTCTATTAACCTTCCCTTTTTACATCCCTTGGAGTTTCACCCAGAGTATTATTACTCTCATGGCACCCGACCTCCAGCTATACATATTCCTCAGAAGGGAAGGTGTGTGACTTCCCTGTGAGCCAATAAAATCAGTGGGATGGTTATTTGGGTAATTCTGCTGGCACTTCCCACAGGACAGCATGTAAGTTGATATGCAAAGACTACCCAGGAGTGTGGAGTAAGATTCAAAACTCTGTGTTGTAACATGGGAGTCCCACAGACTGCTGTAATACACTGTTGGAAGCCACTGAGTCAACTAAAGACAATTTTATAGCCAGACGATTTGTTATCTGCACCCCTCAATAACGTGGAATAGCTTAATGGGAAAAATGGTTCTCTAGCTTTAAAAAAAAATCCTCTATTGTCATGTACCTTTAAATTTAATTCTTGTGTTTACATGGTTATGTTGTAAGAAAACTCTCCAGTAATACTAATATTGATTAACAGTATTTTTTGAAAGTAAGAGAGGAAAACTATACTGAAAATATCAGTGCAGCAAGACTTTAAAAATGACTAGAAGAGAAGATAACCTAAAAGATGAATAGTAAATGATAAGAGACCCAGTGGATTTTACCTAATACCATGATAATAAACAGCCCCCTGGATCTAAATCAGTTTTTCCCTTTATCTTAATTCAGCTTTCAGAAGTATCATATTTCTATAACAAACCCTTCTGAAATATGCCATTTCGTAGATTATTTCATTAGTAATACTCTCAATATCTGATGAAACAACATATCAAGACTAGTTGTTAGAACCAGACATGGATTTTCTGATATATCATTCCCCAGATGGAAAATGGTTTTCTGTGAAAAAGAAAGTACTCATAGGAATATGCTGATTTGATTTAAAATGAAAAAAGATTTCAGTCCGGATAAAAATATTCTGATCAAACATTTGCAGACTCAACAGCAGTTTTTTTAATAACAAATGATAAAAAGCTTATTTTATCATCTATAAAATTTAAAGTAATTTTTTTAGAGTATATTCTTCTCTTTTAAGTTTCCTGCATTGTGATAAGGAGATGTTCCATGAGATGAATTTCCATATGTCCTTTTATATAGCTGAGAAATTCTCATTTAATTTTAGAAGAAACATTTTTGAGCTTGGTGAACTTTAAGATACAATGCTAAGGAAACATCAATTTATTACTGTCTTCTTTTCCAGTATCATGCAACAGTCAAATATATTGCAGAAAATTTGGAAAAACTATTGGGATATAATAGGGTTTTTAACAGGAGACTAGAGTTAATTAATAGAGTTAAGAAGTTAGGATGTTGCTACTATTTCAAAGCAAAAAGGGAGTCAGCACAATGTATACTTGTTAAAGCTTTGCTGATATTTAATACGTTTATCAAAAGTATAAGTCTGTATCTGCCTCAATTTAAAAATTTCAAAAATACATTATCATGTGTCCAATAGCAAATATTAATGAGGACAAATGTTAACATTTCAAAAGAGTTCTGGTCATTCAAATTGTCTCGCTCAATCTCCAAAACCCACAGTAATCGCTTTTACAGTTCCTTTAATTGAAAGTACAATAATCACATTAGCAGCAGAAAATAAGCACAAGCAGGCTTGTTTCAAGGTTAAGAAAACAAGGCACAACATAATCATTCTGAACGTGATCCAGCCCTCATTACGAATTGTTATGTCAAAGAATTCTTATCTGTGTGTTTAATACAGCACATATCAGCACTGAAGCAAATGGCAATATGAGAGTTTGGGGACTGCACTGTCGCGGTAGAACAGGAGGTAATGAGTTGCTGTGAGAGCACTTACAGAGAGCACAGAGATAAAATAGCCTGAAAGGTTTAACTTCTTCATTTTACACCGACATTTCACCAGGTTTACTAGCATGACTGCTGGTAAATCAAAAGCCACACCTTGTATTTACCTGTGACGTTTGTTACCTTCATGTGTCCCAGTCTTATCACTCAGCAATCCCCTCTCCTGTGGGCAGACAGGGTCTAGAAGGTGTGAAAATCAGGAACTCAGCGTTCCAGCCACATCACACATGATGTGCAAGGACCAGGCACACACAGGCTTCAGCTTCACATCCTTGTCAGTCCCGATCATGAATGGATGATTTCCATGCCTCAGTGCACCACAAGAGTCACCTCACAAATTTTCTTTCTCTGTCTGTGTCTGTGCTGAAGACATTAGTTTCTTATGAAGATTGTCCCCCTATTGTTCCCTATTCTTCTACTCCATTTCCCTTTATGATGCCAACAATAAGCATCCCAAGTTTTCTCATCCAAATATCTAACCTAATTTAGGATCAGTTTATCTTGTGACAAGAGACTGTTTTATTTCCTTTAGGTATTTAACAGTCCCATCTAATCTCCAGGGGAGAGGGAACTTCTTGCTTGAATAAAGATGTAACTTTCTATCTCTTTCCTGTCAAGCTTCTTTTCGTGGCAAAAAGTCTTTCCATATTTTTGTCCTTGCTTACTAGGTTTTACTCTCCCTCACAAAACCTGCAAGTAACCACAAAAAGGCCATTTTTATTGGACATTTTCATAGACCTCAGACTGGGATTTTCCATCTCACCGGTCTTTCCATTTATTTCTTCACCATTCTCTTCTGCATAAGGTGTAATGGCTCATACCTGTCCATCTTAAAAATGAGATAATGAGAATGACTTGTAATTCTGACCTCCAAACTGCACTGCTTGCTGTGCACCTCTAACTATTTGCACTGTCATATACATCTGCACTTCTCCTTAAGCAGAAGGAACTATGAAGTAACTTTACATTTTCAGAGTTTAGAGTTTGTCTTCCTGCTTAAATTTCTCCCTGAATCAACCAAAGCATCTGACAGTGCTTTTCCCAGATCAAAAGATACAACTTACATTGAGTTCCTCGAGGTCTAGTTTTCACCTTAGCTCTAAGTACATACAGCACTACCATAAATATTCACTGCCTATATAGGAAACATCCACTTTTAGTTTCTGCAGTTCAAGGTACTTGGAACAAGTATTCTATTGCTTTCAGCTATCAAGACAGGCATTCTCATTTGGTATAATATCTCAGCAGAAATTCTAGAAACCCTAGATGAACTCTTGAACTGCTTCCTTGAATCTGTACTCCAGAAGCTGAGGTGTTGCTTTTTATATCTTTCTATCCTTGGGCAGAAATTCTCTGTATGTTTTTTACTCCTGCTTTAACCTTTTCTCATATTCTGCATTCTTATATTGGAGATTGTTAAATGCCACCTTTTGCTGCTTAAACACCACACCCCTTAAAATTTTTATTTGAAAGAGAAAAAAAATCAATGAAATAATCAAAACAGTCTACTGTACTGTTTTTTAGACTTTACTTACAAGTTTCTTTTTAAATTTCATTATAGATAAGTGTTTTCTCATAACTAATGATACTTTTTTTAAAAAAAAGCTATATGATAGAGCTTATCATGAATGTTTAGACCACTTAAAGACCACATTTTTCCTATCCATCCTTATCCAATGAGTCTATTGAGATACATAACTTTCACAGTTTTGAAAAACAGCTTGCATTTTTAGAGAACAGACTGGCTCACCATGTTTAAATATCTGCTTAAATAATAATATTCTGAGACACAGAATTAGCCCATGGCCAGTGCTATATTGAGTAACCAGTTTTATTATTTATTAAGACTGGAAGTTGGATCTTCACATAATATGTTTCTGTCCCTACCTAGTATGGTTGCTTTAACCTGTACATACTAAATATGTAAAGTTAAGCAATTTTCAGATGTTTTCACCTGGTACTGACATGCTGTTCTGTCAGAGTCTGTATTTCTGTTAATTGTAGACAGAATCATGTTTAAAAAACAAACAAACAAACAAACAAGCAAGCAAAACACATGCAAAAAAGCTTTTCTAACTGATTTTCTGCAAGATAACCTAAACTAAAGCCTAGGACATAATGTAACAATTTGCTGCATAACAAAGACTGTATCAGAATGTGCACACGAAGAAAGGAAACTCAGGAGACAAGTTTAAACCTAATTTTCTAATGTTAAGGCATGGTTATGTAAACTCAATGTAATATTAACACTAAAACAAAATAAGTTTTTAACTTTAAAACAAATGAACAGTCAGAGAAAGGGAAGAATCTGTCATGTAACGATGAAGCTGACCACTCAGGAGCCATTTACACCATCAAGAAAGGAACAGCTGGCACCAGTAATAAGCTGCTATCCTTCTTAGTGATTAGCTGATACTTGACAGAACAGATGTATTTAGGAGTTTTGGAACCTAGTTCTAAATTCTGGAGGTCACAAGTCTCTTACTGAGACTCTTCAGAGAAACAAATCTCATTGGAGAAAATGAAAGCATCTAAGACCTTCCCCGAATCTAAAGAGAGGCTTGGGGAACCATCAGAAATTACCTGGAGTTCTTTTCACTAAAACACCCTTCCAGCCTTCCTAATCTCCAGGATACCCCCATATCTTGTTTCCTGCTCTTATTTCCTTTACAGATTAAGGTGTAGGCACATCATACACCACATACTGATGCATATAAATGTGGGGGTCAATGCAAGCAAAGATGTTCCTCACACAAACCTTGAATTCACAGGATCTACTCATCTTCCTTCTAATTTAACTAGCACCAAACTTTACTGAGGTAAAGACAATTGAGTGAATACATTTTGTCTTAATTCCTAGCTTCAGATATGAAGATATATTGTTGTCTTTCAAAAATGAAAAAACTATTTTTCAGAAATTATGAGACATTTTCTAGATGATATGTGGTATATAATTTCCTTTGGGTAGCACGTTAGACTATATTCAGTTTGGTAGTAAAATTTATTGTGGAAAAGTATTTCTAACTACTGTTGTTTTGAAACCATTGTGTCAGTGTTTCTATTTCACTCTAGTGGCTATTATTTGGTCTTTTTATTTCATTAACAGTAAGCAATAATAAGTCAAGGAGGTTTTATTCAGAGAAAGATGCTAAGAAGCACCCACAAAGGAACAACAGTGAAGACTGAAAGCAGAAGTAAGGACTCATTTACTTCAAATTTCTCTACCAGTTCAGAGTAAATGTAAAAACAGGTATTCCATTATTCCCAGGTTTTCTAAGAAGTCAGACAGGTTTTATGAAAAGAAGAAAGATCTGTCCAAACAAATAAGAATATTTCATATTGAACTATTTGTGTAACACAAAATGTAACAGAGATGAGCTGGTAGAGTAGACTGTGTTAAAATAGGTTGAAATGCCATGTGATATGGCCTATAACTGAAAATATGAATAGAAGAATAATAAAAGAGATTAGCCTGAAATTTTTTTTCTGAATGTTGTCATCATTAATCTTCACTAATGAAAAACAGTAAGCAATGAAAAAACACCAGCAACACAAAACTCTTCCTCTCTTTTCCCTCTTTATGCACAGTCTGCTCTGTCAATCAGAAGGCAGAACCAAGCTGCCACTTTTGAGCATGTCACACAACGGAGAAATTCCTGTGTGCTGTGCCTTCCGTATTCAGAGAATGACAAAAACTGACACTATCCATTGGGATGTACAAGGTGGAAGTCAGAGGTGAGGGTTGGGAAATTTTTTGGCTGTAGACTTCTTCCTGTTAGGTAGGATCTCTAAAAGCAGGTTCTTGAGAAAAATGTAGGTTTTCTTTATTATCTATTTTCAAGTCTAGAAGTTGCAGAATTTGCAAGAAAATTCCTGTTTGAAAGAAAGATGAACTTGTTTACTACATTGAAGCAACGAATTGCTGGAATGAACTTTTAGTGCCACTTTATGTTGACATTATCCATTTCTTCTCTGAGTCTGAATGTAACTGCTATGTCACTGATACGAAACCACTGACTACTGGCTAAAAAATAGTGAAAAATGAGAAGATTTTTTCAGTCATGGAAAGATGCCTTCAATTCTTGAAGTTCACTAAGTTCCACTGCACATTGCGTCCTTCTGAATCAGTCTGTATGAACCAAGAGCTGGGAAAAAACATATCCCATCCCACATATTCATCCAAAAAAATGTACATATATTTTTTTTTCCCCCCAAGAATTTTATGGAATCATCTCTCAAAGATCTTTCAACATCAACAGTGCATAGATGAAGGAGATCATAGAAAGAGAGCTGTAGTATAATGATGTAAGAATGACTTTTTCACTGTTTAGTCATCCCGTACAATTCAACAATCTGAGCTGCTTTCTTTTGACACTGCACAGCAGGCTCACCTTTATCCTTGAAGAGTAAGCCTGCTGTGCAATCAGCATATACAGCCCTCCAAGGCTTGCATGGCCTAGAAGGCAGCCTGCATTACCCGCTGGATACAGCCCTTCGAGACTCTTTTCAGCAATCATCAGTCACACTGAGTTTAGGCCCACATTTCTTAAGCCAAAGAAAATACAAAGTGCATTGAAACCTCCATTAGTTAAGGATGCAACTGGCCATGAATATTATCAGAATTTTGGAAGCAATTTCGGTGACCAATCGGTGACAATTTCTCATTCATAATTTCAACAAGTGTGATTAAACTACAAGCAGTGATCAGACAAAAATACTCTCAAATTATTGTTGAAAAGTACATCTTTTTTAGATATAATACTGTAAAATAACCATCTTTCACAATAAAGTAAAATTGTTAATCTGCTTTTATTAATGTCAATTTTCCTTTAAAACTCATATAATAGATAGGTATATTTGTATTTGCTTCATGTTCCATAATTAAATTCGCCACATTCATTTTTTAGGTCTTCAACAGTGTGATCATTTTCAACAATTTAACGAGGAATTTAAAAAACGACCAACCAACCAATCAACACCATCACCAAGAAAAAATCCACACCGTGCAAATTAAGCAAGGCTAAATTTCCAAGTACCGTGTTTTAAGCACATTCATATATGATCACGTGCAAAAATTAATGACAATATATACCCAAAGAAAGAGAAATTCTTTCAGAGAAGACTCTTAAAGCACTCAGTGCAACTGGCAAAATTGCATTTACGTAAGAGAACAGCTTCACAAATCTAGTTAGAGTTCTCCAGCTTGTTGCACAGTTCTTGTACTATATATGCACAGATTTTATTGTGACATTGTATTTTTGCAATTGCAAATGTTGTATGTAGATTTATGCATATTTGTAGGCCACCATCTTCAAAAAATACATGTCCCTTTATCTTTTGCCCCCGTATAAGAAATTTTTGTAAAAGAAACCCTGGACTGCATAGCAAAATCATCTCTAATGACAGCAAAAAGTAACAATATTTGCATGGGATCCAGCTGTGGGACTATTTATTTTGGTGTGTGCAGAGTCAGTGTCTGGGTTTTACTGCTGGACTATTCAAGCACTTACAAAATATAATGCTGTTTTAGGCCGATATCTAAACCACCCGAATTTCAGGAAAAATCAGTATTTTTTGTTGCCATTCCCCAGAGCATTTTTCATTTAGTTGCCTAAGTAGAGTTGTCTTCTTTCAGATGACAAGTTTTTCATAACATTTTTGTCCTCCACAGAGAGAGGAGGATTAAAGCACAGAGAATGACTCCTTTCCTCAGCTGCAACTTGAAGTGATGCTGACATTAAGCTGCTGAAAACCTCTAAATTATAAAGTGTTTTCACTAAACATCCTGCTCTACAGAAGAGAGGTTAAATTGCGCTTTCTTGTACCAAATGTGACAAATGGTCACAGAACCCAAAAAATATGAGCATTCACAACACAAGCAAATTCTACTTTCAAGAGCAAGAGTATCTGATAAACAAAGCTGCAGCTTCCCCACAATGAACAAGGGAAACATAAAACACTGTAGCAGTTCAGCAGTAATAAACAGGTGGGAGTCTTCTATTTGGGTGATACTTGTAAAGTGGTCTTGCTGCATTAGATTTTGTAACCCAGACTAATGGGCTGTAAGCAGCTATGTAAATGGGTTAAATTAAGAGGAAGGAAAATATCTTTTGATTATCCTTATATATACATATACATAGACATATAAGTTAAGTGTACACGTATAAATAGCAAATTTTAAGACCTCATCAACAGGCATAGAATGCATCACAGTATTTTAAGATCAGTATTTTAAAAAATTTTTCTTTAGACAATATCCCATTTTTTTCTGGAGCATTAGTATCATGTATAGTCTAAGGAAATTTTTCCTTATGAAAGGACTTCTTATGAAAGGTATACCTAAAAGATAGCTATAAAAAAAGCGAGTAATCAAAACTTTTCTAACAGATGTTAGCACAAATACATGAAGTTCTGCAATGATGGCAGATTTTTAAGGACTTCAAACTTTGCAAATGTGTAATAAGTATCTGTATAGGATTGGATGAAAAGGTCATGTTTCTTGTAGAAACATAGAATCATTGGAAAGAAAATGAATGTATAACAATTGATGTGAATGCCTATGCACCTGAACTGCCAATAGGGCAGTTCCTCAAACCCCTGAGGAAAAGTTTTATGCTCAGTGCCAGGAGAGCTTGGTGTGATGTGATACCCTGTGATATATAGGATGTCTGTATGATCTGTCTTGGCCTTAAACTTTGCAAACCTGAGATGATTAATACATCGTATCCAGATATAAATATACACACAAACATGCCATGATATGTTTTGTACCAAAGACTCAGGTCCATGTTTGAGCTCTGTTGGAAAAAAACTGCCAATGAAGAACTTTGCATCTTGGAATTCCTGTGCTTTTCTCAGGACTTTTTAACCAAGACAAGCAAAACCTGAAAATGTTGGCTTCTGAACATATGGAATGCTAGCCATTGAGTCAGTGCAACCTGGTACCAATTGCAGAAAAGAGAGAATTTGCCATCAGCTTTTAGAATAAACAAACAAGAATGGTGAGATACTCTACAGTCTGTGATCCAAATATCAACTGACTGAATATCTGCACTTAATGGCTTGCTGTAGTGGATAACAGTCCACTATCCTGCCTAAGCTGAACGAGTCTCTTGGCACTTGGTCATTCAGCTGTTCGACACATGAACAATATTCTTCATTCTTCCTAGCTGCTGAACAAGACCACTTGTGATTTATGAGGTAGAATTCACATGCTGTTATCTAGGTATTTAGCCTTTTGACATTTAAATGCCAGCTGACCAAACTAAGTCACTTCAAATTCAATGGTATGATGCAGTAGCCTCTTCATTGTGATACAGCTTGACTTAAAATAGGCAAACTGTGAAGCACTGTGTGAATTCCTTGGTCAGTTGAAAAGCTGGAGACTCTATATTGTTCCTATAAGGAAAATACTATAAAATCGTAGCCATTCCTTCCATAACATCATGTAAGCTACACACTGGCTTTAATAAGACAATGTCTTAATCACAGAAGAGCAATAATATATCTGAATACAAGTTTAAAAAACTTTCTGAAAAACAAAAGAGCATGGTTAGAGGAATTATATAATGTAATCCTGCACAACTAGTGGTATGAACTATTGTTAAAGAAGACAGTCCTTTTTATAAAACTTTAATTTCTACAATCAAGGAGCTGTATCAGGCTCTAAAAAGGCAATATTTAAGGTATCCAAGTGCTGTTACCAGTTCAGAGATCTACAAATCTCATAAAATAGGCTTTGTACATTGCTTTATTCCACTTAGTAGTCTTCTGTTCCTTCAGAATACAAACTCAAATATTACTCAAGTAAATAATGGATGCAGTTATTAAGAGTTACTAGGAGAAACAGCATTAAAAACAGCAATAAAAAAAGTGTAGGAAATAAATGCCCTGAAAAACATTGTAGAATTACTGATTATGTGCATGCTGACTCATCAGTCATTTCCACACTTTCTAAGATCTCTTGGTAAACCTGCAGTTTGGTAGAGAATCACCTTTAACAGAGAGGGATGTATAACTTCCTGTTCCCTCTCAAATTTAGAAACCTGTGTGAATCAATGAATTCTTTATTTAAGATTCTGTGATATATAGGAAGTCTTGGAATTTTTCCATAGAAATCACAGGATTTCTAAAAGCTACTCTGAACAACATGAAAGCGTTTATTGTTTTATATATGTATGTACATGATTGCTCTTTGATGCTGTAATATCTAACAAGTTTATATGAGATGGAAATAAAAGAGTAATAAAAATTAACAGAATTTTAGGGGGGAAAAAAGGTTATTTCTTCTAATAACATGTTTGTATAAAGCACAATGTTCAGTAATGAAATTCAGTAATTCACTTTCGTGGATTATAGTTTAGTAAGTGATACAGCAGATACGAGCCATCATTTACAAGAAGATGCCATCTGCTGAGCAAACATGCAATCAGCAGGCACTTCCTATTACACTGGAATCTTTTTTGTCCTTTATTGCATTTCTAAAGCCCCTCAAGCAATCTGAGCCAGTGCAGCAAATGAAGAAAGCAAAGGACTTCTCAATGACCCCAATATCAATTCTGCTTTGCGCTTCACGCTGTCTCAAGGCTATGGACCTCATAGGTTAGTTCAAGCAAGAGACAGAAAATAGTACATAAAGTGTGTGTGTGTGTATGTCTACAGTTCCAAGGAAACTCTGTAGAAACGACAGCCTAGCCTTTGAGATTAAACATACTTCAAAAAAAGCATTACAACATTAAACACACTTGGATGCAAGCATTAAATTATTCATCCTTACACCATTTAATTGTTGCTTCATAATACTTCTCTTTTTTTGTTCCAAATGTTCAGTTTCCTGCTGCTCTTTATCTACCTCATGAACACTCTGATGCAAATAGGAGACCTTCTGGTGAATTTATGCATAAACAGATGTGTTAGTATTCAAAAGTTATTGTCTTACATCTATAGATGTCAGGGAAAAAGCATTAGTTATTAAATACTTTCACAGTTACCATTCCTAAGCTTATTTTGGTTTTCCCTTCCATAATCGTTTTCTCATCATGTCGGTTTATATGCTGTATGCTTTGAATGATAAAATCCATTTTAAAATAGAAAATACCTCTGCTGCTTCATAAAACATTTTTCGTCTTGCACAGAAACAAACTAAATAAAGTTGTGAAGTAAAAATATATATTTGAAATAGCTTCCATAGAGCAAAATAGAAGTATATTAATTGCTATCACTACCTCATGTAAACTACAGCTAAGGACAGCTAACAAGAGGAGGAAGAAGAAACTAATATATTACAATATCTCATTTTTCTCTTTTTCATTAATCCAGTCTATTATTAATTGGCATCTCAAGAAAAACGATTCTTGTCTATTGTATTAATTTCATTTGCATCATTAACACAAGCATCAAATATTAAATGAAAGAAACTATGATTAATACATGTAGTAAGGAAAATTTTGCATTAATAAATACGCTTAAATGAATTGCATAATATTTATACTATTCAAGGTTTAAAATTCCATCTAGAAGATATTAAAATAAATATTCATATTTCCATTCTGAAAAGCTTTACACAATGCAAAAGTTCTCCCTAGAATTTACCACTATCTTTTGGATATCAGTTGCATACAAATCTGCTTGTGCAAACTCTTTCTCCAAGCTTTTACCACAGAAGCAAATACACAGGTGTAGACCATGATGTATAACTCACACCACACCTCTCTAGGTTTCCACAGAACTAATGATGTGATCTTTGTCACATTGTTTCTACTTAGTTTCAGCTGGGGAAGGGCTAACAACATTAGTCACTGCCATTATTGCCTTGTTTTGAAAATACTATTAGGTATTAGAAGAATCTTCTTCTTTTTTAATTTTTCAATTTGACTTATTAAGCCTGCATTAAAAATAAACTACCACATAATCCATTATCTGAACTCAAACCATTCAACATCCCCCATCTCTCATGCAAAACTGGGGAAGTATTTCTGCATGCAGATTATGCCAAGAGCCCTTCAAAGAGAATTACACTAAAAACCTGAAGATGATATTCCATGCCAAGGTGTGTACTAGCAGTTGGATAACAGAACTGCTAACCTACAGACTGACTCTGTAACAAAACATTCTCCCTACTGATGCACTACAATTTCTTCTATTTGGGCTTTGAGAAAAATAAATACTGTCTCTAAACTCAATAGGCTCAATAGATGCTGATATTTCAATGTTCTCTAACAAGTATATGTCTTACAGAAAACTCCTTATCTTAATTAATAGCTAGTTTTCCTACTCTGTTTCACTTATGACAGAAGACTGAAAACAAATTAAATGTTTCCCACATTTCCTGTTGCTCTCAGAGCCAATTCTCAAAAGAAGAAAAGGAGCAAGCACCTGCCTAAGAAAAAGACATTCAAAAAGACTAAAGATCAAAGTCTAAAGTGTTGTTTTTTTTTAACAAGGATAAAGAAATTGCTAGGGACTGGTCCCAACTCTACTACTTTTACTTCATGGCTGTCTTGAAATGTATCTTTATTTCTAAATCAGATACTTGTCTCTCAGTCTTTTCAATGCTCTTCCTATCTTCACAGATTCATAGAATGTTAAGGGACCTTAAGGATCACCTAGTCCCAACCTACTCTTTTCAAAATATAGTGGTTGGTGGTAAATATATCCCTTTTCAGTTTTAAATCATAGTCTAAAAGCATAGTTTACTTACTGTGAGTCTTTCAAGCAGAAAATGCAGCATAAATTCTGAATTCCTCTAGAATGGCACAACATTAGGTAAGGCCACAGATGTGACAATCTGGTTAGTAGATGGAATGGACAAGCTTCCCAGAAAACCACTAACATTTCTTGGTCCCTGTTGCATTAGAAGATCCCCTTTGGCTGTCTCAGAATAGAGTCTCATCTAAACTGCTCTGTGCTTTCACCATCACTAGTAAATGATAGCTTTTGTACTTTTCACAGCCTTTGACATCATTAAACTTTGTTATAATAGGAAGTAAAAGCCTCTTGACAGCAAGGATGTGAATGTTGTCTAGCACAGAGAAATAAGGGTTTGGAAGCAAAATAGGAGAAAAAGGCTCAGTTGAAACAGAACTTAAAATCCTCCCTGAAAGAATTACAACATGCATCTCAAGGACTCTTTATCATGACAAAACATGAACTACAATTTAAAAAAAACATGAACTACAATTTTAAAAAAAAGAACAAAAAAGAGCTTGGGTACAAATTTACTGCCTATTGGGAAAGTGTCCCTTTTTTCTGCCTGTAAAAGGAAAAAAGTGGGCTGAAAATGGCACTAGGAATCTTGCTCAAGAATCCAGTGAAGAGAAAGGAGCCTTTTAGTTTCAGTGAGTCATCAAAAAGTGTAAGTATTAAATAGAAAAAAAGGAAGATGATGTTTGGAATCAAACCTATCATACTGTGTTAGTTAGGCCCAGAAATATTCCCTTCATCTTTCTCTAAAGCAAAGTCTGAGAATTAGAGGGAACTTGTACATCAATCACAAACACACGTGATGGAGACCTTGTGCATCACCAGGCTTAGAAGAGGAACATTCAACATTTTCAGCTAATGTCTTGGACAAACAGGAATTTCAGGGTCTCTCTTAGGACTTATCTTTCTATAAATTGGACATGTAGATATCAGATTCTATTCTGAGCTCTTGCACAATTCAAAGTCACGGAATGGAAGGGAACAAGTTTTGCAACAAAAGCAAATGGAGATTGTCACTGTTCAGAAGAAAATAAAAAAGGTTCAGAATTCTCTCTGCAAAAAGAGAGGAATAAAAATCTCAGAAGGACTTCTGGTCATCACAGTAAATCCAACATTCTGTTCTAAAGAAAAATAGCCTTTGATATCTCTCAGAGTAAATCTCTCCTATCTGAGACCACTGCAAAAGGACCCAAATGTGGTTCTGACTCAAGGACTTATAGTAAAAGACTGAAATGCCTCCCTCCAGTTTTGTCTTGTTCTTCTGATCCCATAAGGTGTTGGAATCCATCAGAACACTCACAGCATGCAAGTACTCATTTCAGGGTGAACAGGAACAATGGAGCCAAAAAGTCCTTTATTTCATTATGGTAAGTGTAGGAGTATTAAAAGTAAAGATGTTTCTTCCCAGAGGTATTATAGGTCTCCTTTATAGGAAGAAAGAGATGGTGAATCTCAATGGCACTCACCTACCAACTGTGAGAAGACTCTCATGATGCCTTACACACTGGTGTGCTAATAATGCATCACAGGAGATCCTTTCCAGTCATTAGAAGGAGTTTGATTAAGAAGAAAGTATTTGATTTTACTGTTTATCTGGTATCAAGTTTTATAAAAGAAAAAGGCCATGCTTTTACATTGTGCAAAGGTTCTATAGGAGCCAGTGTTGACTTAAGGTCTGAACAGCCATTATCACTCTATCCTCCTCATCTTTCTCACAGGAGATGCACAAAAATAGCAACTGGAAATCTATTGCCTGCCTACAGCTTGTTACTGGGCAGTCACCACTAAAAACACAGTCAGTTCAGCAGCTGCTGATTTTTCCAGGTGTGTTGAGTTTGAGTGGGGCTCAGAATCACAAAATAAACTGACAACATGTGAGAACAGCTCTGCAAACATCAAGGTCAATGGAGAAGGAGGTGGAGAAGGTACTCCAGGTGATGGAGCAGAAATTCCCCTACAGCCCATGGAGGTTCCTGTTGGAGCAGATATCCACCTGCAGCCTATGGAGAGCCCCATGTTGGAGCAGGTGGACACCTGAGAGGAGACTGTGAACCTGTGGGAATCCTGCCCTGGAACAGATTGTATGAAGGACCTGTGGAACTGCAGAGAAGGGAGCCCACAACAGACCAGGTTTGCTGGAAGAACTTCTAACTCTGTGGAGAGCCCACCCTGGAGCAGTTTGCCCCTGAAGGACTGTATCCTGTGGAATGGACCCATGTGGAGCAGCCTGTGAAGAGCTGAAACCCATGGTAAGGACTCATGCAGGACAATATCATGGATGACTTTGTCTCATTGTCTCCTGTGGAACATTGCCTACAATGGAACAGGGGGAGAATGTGAGGAGTCCTCCCACTGAGGAAGAAGTAGTATCAGAGACATAAGCCCAGGACGTAGGAAGGGATGGGGAGTAGGTGTTTTTAAGACTTATTTTACTTCTCAATATGCTGGTAGGGATTATGTTGTTAATAAGTTCAACTGGTATCTCCTTGTCCCTTCTGTTTTGCCTGTGGTGGTGTTCAGTGAGTGATCTCTCCCAGTCCTTATCTCAGCTCATGAACCCATTGTTATATTTTCTCTCCCCTATCCAACTGAGAAGGGAAGTGAGTGTCTTGGTGGGCACTTGGTATGCAGACAGGGTCAACACACTACACTTGCAAAGACAGCTTAAAGAACAACAAAATCCAAAGAAATAACACTGTAGTCAAATTTAAAAAAAGAAAGGAATAGGGGTTTTATAAAAATTATTTTATTAAAAACTTTATGGTATCCAACATCTAAAAATAAAATACTTGCAAGCCAAGAGTGACTACTTACAGATACTATATTGGAGACTTAAAGGACATTCGAGCAAGCACTGACAGACGCTTTGGAAATATATTAAAAAAATCAACATCACTAACAGAAGAAGAATTATTAGTAACAAGACAAAAAGTTGAAAATATGTCCAAGAGAGGAAAACAGAAAAGATCCTGAACTTTGCTGATTAAAATATAAAAATTCAATCAGGCAAGATAAATAAGAGCATTTGAAAAAAACCTGCAAGAGACTTAAACCAAGTACCTTTTCAAACACATCTGACAGATCTGAAGTCTGCTAGAGACAAAGTAAGCCAAACAGATGATCAGAAGGACTTAGAGACAGACTTACCATGAACACTCAGAAAACAAACTATGATAGGGGAAA